CTGTCCCCATTTTTGGTCCCCCCTCTGTTGGGGTACCCAGCACACAGATCTGGTACTAAAAGGTGGAGCTGTGAACACTGCAGTCTGTTGATTGGTCAATAGAGGACGGTCACTCTGCTCAGGGCTGAGTTGTGGCTGGTTTTAAGGCTCATGTAACCACTGTTCATACCGTGGAGAGTTTTATTAGACTCATTGTTATCAGCAGCACCCTTCTATGATGTAGTTTGTAGAGACCATAGACTGTATAAATAAGGTAGTGACATGACAATCCAGAACAACATTCTGGAGATGTTTTTTCCAATGGCGCATTGGCGGCAGTGGAGTGGTGTGGATAAATCAAAAATGAAAGCAATAAACAGTTTAGTTCACGTAGTAATACATTATGTGACACTGTAAATGTAATAATATTACCCAACATTCTGTTGGTATCATGTTGACTTCATACGGATTACCATTACTCAACATTCAAATTTTCCAACCATACAGGCTGGTGTGACTTTAATCATACCTTTGACCATCTGATGTAAATTAGCCGGCTCCTCAGGTCTGAACTTGTGCTCCATGGTCGGAGAGTCTTTGATAAACCTGGTTTGCTCTGGAGTACAGCTGGTATCGTGTTTGTCCACGGGCATGGGCAGTGATTTAGGCAGGAACCAGAAAGGAACAGCAGACATGAGGGTGATGGTGCCCGCGATGAGGTAGCCCAGCCACCATGCTCCCACCCAGCGGGCATCACCAGGGGTAATCGTCACCGTCTCTGTGAAGCGATAAGAGCCTTACTTACTTAGCCTTCCACTCATCTGTAGTGCTATTTATCAATCTAGATTGTTTTGGTGTGAGATGCTGAGTGCTGGATATATCAGCTATAGAGATGTCTGCCTTCTCTTGAATATAATGGAACTAAATGGAACTCAGCTTGTGGTGCTCACTTCCTTCTACGCGGTGCTAAGGTTGGTGGCTTTAGTTTGGTAGGAAGAAAATAGTTCCTAGATGAAACTGCTCACAACAAAGTCTGTGGACTATCTTGAGTAACCAGGTCATGATTTCTGTTAAGAGACATTGCTGTTGAGTTTTTCAAATGTAGTTTTCTGGTGCGTTGAGCACCACAAGCTGAGTGCCATCTAGTTCCATTATATTGGAGAGAAGGCAGACATCTTTATGACAGATATCTCTAACACTCTGCAACTCACGCCAAAACAATCTAGACTGATAAATAGCACTACAGGTGAGAGGAAAAATATGTCTTGTTGATTTTGGGGTGAACTGTCCCTTTACAATTTAGGGCTGTGTTAAATGTTCAAAGGAAACATTTCAGAACATGATGAGATGCCTCCTGACTCGTATTGTATTTACAACACACTTCAAAGTGTTTGCTTCCCTATCAGATCACACTGTATCACAGGATTTACTCTGCCCTAATTTATTTCCTCTTAGCAGGTGTGTTGTGTCTTGCACAGCTTTAACACCGTCGTGTACGACAGCCAGTTTCCACATCCAAGTCTCCACAGAGGAGTGTGAGCGCATGATAAACTGCAACAACAATTCACAAAGCACGACATTGTTATTTAATTAGTCATAGTTCATTAGTCAGATGACAGCTTACTCACCCATGTCCACATAGCCGATGTCAACGTAGATCTTGGCACACAGCGACCCCAGCAGGTATCCAAAAACAGGACCGATGATTGATATGGTTTGGACACATCCTAGAGTACACAACAAAGAAATGTTTTTTTATTTAACCAACTTCAACATCTAACATACAAATACAGCATCCTATGTTGGGCTAAATACAGCATTTTACAGATGTTTGAGATTTCTTTTTATTTTGTATTTACTGTAACACATTCCATTGAAAAATACATTCACTGGCCACTTTATTAGGTACACCTGTTCAACTCCTCACTAACACAGTCAATCACGTGGCAGCAACTCAATGCATTTAGGCATGTAGACATGGTCAAGATGCCCTGCTGAAGTTCAAACTGAGCATCAGAACAAAGAACACAGGTGATTTAAGTGACTTTGAACGTGGCATGGTTGTTGGTGCCAGACGGGCTGGTCTGTCAGAAACTGCTGGTCTACTGGGATTTTCACACACAGCCATCTCTAGGGTTTACAGAGGATGGTCCCGAAAAGAGAAAATATCCAGTGAGCGGCAGTTCTCTGATACCACACATTAAAACCAAGTTCTGCAGAAGACCATCTCTGAAGCAACAACACGTCCAACCTTGAAGCAGATGGGCTACAGCAGCAGAAGACCACACCAGGTGCCACTCCTGTCAGCTAACAACAGGAAACTGAGGCTACAGTTCACACAGGCTCACCAAAACTGGACAATAGAAGATTGGAAAAACGTTGCCTGGTCTGATGAGTCTGGATTTCTGCTGCCACATTC